AGGCCTCCTTTTAACTTAGGTTGTTTTCTCTCATTTCTCCCCAGTTTGTTATTCTGCCATCTCTATCCTTTTTTCTGCCTTGTCTTTATTGTCATGTTTTAAATCATTTGTAAACTGCCCAGAGTTGCTGGGAGTTGGGTGGCATACAAATTTATATGATGATGATGATGTGATGGTGATGATGATAATAATGTCCCTTTCCACCACTACTTCCCAGCAACCAGTATTTAAGCCATGCAGCCTACAATTCAGAAGCTACTAAACAACCATCAATATTAGTAGCCACTTAACAACCTGATCTATGAATCTCTAGAGTCCCCTTTTAAAATAATCCAAATGGGCTGCTATTACTGTAATTACTGGCAACAAATTCCACAATTAAACTATAAAAAAGTTTCCTTTGTTGGTCGTGAACCTCTCTACATTTAATTTCAATGAATGACTTTGAATTCTAATATTGTGACTGAAGGAGAAAAACTTCTATTTATGTGATCTATGTCACTGGATGCATTTAGGAAACCTTACCCTCTTTTCAGTTTGGTCTTGCACACTTTTACACGTGCAGTTCTCTATACTCCAGAAGACCAATTACACTTTTTAACACAAAAATGATTGCCCAACTTTTTCCAGCTCCAAAGTTTCTTCATGCAACATCCACATAAACTGAACTATTTTTGTTTACTATTCACTCTTACTCTTTTGATTTACATTCCATTTCCTGGTGTAAAAATAATATACATATATCTTCAATGGACATTATAGTACACCTTAAGTCTAGCATTCTCAGCTTTTCTAGCTCTAGGTTGTGACCTAAGCTTAACTAAGCAGAATGCAATGCTCTGAGCATTTTTATTCTGCTAAAGGAGCAAAAAAGGGATTATTTTTCTGAATTTAACCATATACAATTACTTATGTAATATTCACTGTTACTTTTTTTGTAATTACAGTTAAATATCAATTTAGTGATCAATATTTTTACACTACTTAACACTTATCCTGTCATGATGTAGCCCCATCAGTTCAATGAGACCATTTGAGGTCATAATAAAGGATAAAGTACACATATTCTTTTATGTGTAAGGGAGGAAACCACGTCAATAGTTACATATATCTTTGTATCTATCTTTCCACACACAACTAGGCCTGCTCAAAATTAATAGGGGAAAAGCTGAACGTGGGTGTTGGCCAGATTATTCTTTCCCAGTCCACCTTTTTGGAGCTTCTGAAAATGACACCAACAGGACAGATGGAGATCACAAACCAACCATACAAAAATAAGAGACAGACATGCCTGGTAACTTACCCCTCCTGACAATTTTATCACCCTGACTTTGGTGCCGACATGGGGCCCATCGCCACTACCACTGTTTGCCCGCTGCATGACAGTTCTTTTCACCCCAGGCTTCAGCTCTTGAGGTTGGCCTTGCACCGATGCCACCCGAGCCATCTGGGACAGGTTCAAGTGCGCAGCAGCAGGCGGCTTTGCTTGCAAACCTTTATAGGGCAGCTGGAGCTCATTTTCGGGCACTGTCCTAGCCTGCCTTAGTTGCTTTATTGTTTTTATTTGCTGTCCTTGAAATTGCACACTGTCTCCAGCCTGGAGAATGTTTATAGGCTTAGGCTGAACAGCTGGGGAATTTGGAACGACTGGCTCTTGTTTTTTAACCATTAGCCTGCATTTCACATTTTGGCGGGGCTGTGCACCAGGAAGGGAAAGCAATGGATTTCCATTGGTGGGCAGCTGTGAAGTTTCTTCCTCCTGCTGTTGGGCTGAAGAGCCTTGTTGCTGCTGCTGCGCAAGCCTTTCAAGCAATTCTCTTTTGCGGGCCCCAGCCTGAAGCTGCCGCCTCAGCTCCTTTTGTTTCAAGATCTCTTCCCTGAGGCGTTTCTGTTCCTCTATCTTCAGACGGTACAGTCTGGTTTCTTCATCCTCATCAGGAAACTGCAGGGTAGCCAGAAAAGAAAGTTACACATGGTAAAATCCAACTTTGTCCAAAAAAAAAGAAAGAAAGAAAAAAAAAAGGTGACACTTGTTAAAAGAATGGCACACTTTCCCAGCGGTATACTTAAATTAACTGAAAAACGATGCAGTGTCTTTAACGACAAAGCTGCTAACAATGGTTTATGAGCTATTAATCAGACAAGCAATGAAGAGGCAAAGAATATACTACTCCACTTTGGACTTTTAAATACAGTAAATCAGAAAGCTGAAACTGAAGCCTTCTAAATCGGAACTCATTTAGAAGTTGCTGAAACTAATTAAACTATTAATATAATTCAAGAACTCAAATATTGTTTCAAATGGAAGCAGTAACAATAAGAGGCAGCCCACTGTGTCACACAGGTTTTATCTTGCTCTTTTCTGACAAACTAACAAAAGGTAGGATGGTAAATGACCTGAAAGGCCCTGATTAGAACTATTGATTTTTCTTACAGAATTTTCAGCCTGATCTGAAACTCATTTGTCACACAATAATTGGTTATAATGAACAGCGCAAGTCAATCTCTCTGACCTTGAACTCATGCACTCTCTTCAGAATTAAAATGTTGCCAAATGCAATGTTGGAATATTAATGGAATATCAGGAATGGCTTTAATATTCCAGCCTTAAGCTTTTTAGAAAGTATTACAGCCTTTGTGTGCCAAATAATCTTTCCTGTAGTCCTAAAACTCCAGCAAGATATATATCCTTATTCAAAGCTACTGGGAAATTAAGAGCAAAAGAAAATTCTGATGTTGTTTTTGAATTTGCAGGTTCAACATACTTTAATAATGTGAAAATGCTGCTTTTTAAGTATAACAGCAGTCTTCACTCCTAGAGAAAGCTACAAACCACCTACACCGTGTAATAAATTTACTATTCTTTGATAAATTTAGCTGCTTATATTTATTATCTAAGATTTCCATAAAGAATATTGAAGAAATAAATACACCATTGTCTATTATTTTCATATTACTAAGAAAACTAAGTAAGCAGTTATAAGAAAATGGAAAAAAACTGGGAGGAAAGAGAGACGTCATAAAATTAATATTAATTCAATCAGTGTAATAATCACTAAGTGAAATTGTGACTATTCTTTTCTACCATGTGTAATAATCCTAAAAGTGCATTGTTTATTACTGAATACTCCCACCTTGCATATTCTTAACTATTCTATCCATTTTTCTTGCCCACCTGAGAAACCCCTGACATTATTTTGAGTAAAGTAAAGAAAGAAACAACCTGAACAGATTCATAAATGAAAGAGACTAGGTTTATTGGAAAACAACATGGTTAAGAAAAATGTCCTGTCTGACAAACCCCAACCCTAAGCAGCAGCTCTGGAGAAAGCAGAGAAATGAGAATCCACCACCACACCTGAACTTAACACACACCGTAAGAGCTACTTTCACAAGACAAAAATCTCTTCTTTCAGACTGAATTGACAAATGAGATGGCTGAAGCATCAAGGCTCCCGAGTCTCCTAACCGCTAGCATGGCATTTCAAATTTGCAAGGTTCTTCTCTTTACTGCATTTCCCCAAACCAGCACTCCCTGAATTAAGCCTGCCATATACAGCTTCAGATTTGCAGCATGACACTGGTTCCAAGCGTCTGATCCAAATAATGTGAAGGTGGCCATCGCCCCCAAATTCAAAGCTTCCCACCGGCACAAAAAAGTCTAGGGTGACATTCTTTACTGCCAAAGTTGCCTGTCAGTTCACCCCTAAGATGACAATTTCACCAACTTATAGCCTATATAAAACCCAAGATATAATTAGTCAGAAAAGATTTTAGTGGTTAACATTTATAGCAAAAGCACGTAGTCTGGGATCCCTGAAAGCCTCAGGTATGGCTCTCAGAGGCCTCCAGATATTGCTGTCAAATGTTATATTTAATAAAACAGAAGAGGGAAATGATTAAATACACGACTGGAGAGTAATTGTAGTAATAATTAATTCTAATGAAATGTTCAGTAAAAGCAGACTTGCTTCTTACTCTGACCTCACCCACTCTGGAGTGTGGCCCCCAGCATGCTACTCAAAGGCAAGTGTAGTAATTTGAAAAGATGTAGTACTTTAAATGTGAGTGTCCCAGCTTCCATGAGACATTTGGCTCCCTGTTGTTTGAATAACTAAACGAAAGACACTAAATGGAAGACCATCTCTTGAATTACTCTTCCTGCTGCAAAGATTAAAGCAGGAGGGAATTCTGCTCCATTCCATAACAGGCTTTAAAAAAAACACCACAGAGCTAAATCTTTCAGTCCAGCTATAATTTAGTGTAATATTAACTGCTGCTACTTTCTGGTATCTGCTCATTTTTATGTATTAGCAAAGAAAAAGTCTGTTGTTAGGCTAAGTGTGATTTACTTTCTCTGCCATGTGACTTAGGTGATCTTTTATTTAGGAACTCAAAAAAACAGGGAACCAAAAGTCCCATGGAAATTGGATGCTCAAAGGCTTATGGTACCACATGTTCCAAACTAAAGTAAATAAGGGAAGTGCACTCAGTTACTTATTTCTGCAGATTATTATGGCAACCATTATAAAAAACTACAAATGTGATGGTACCACATCCTGTATTGGCAGATGACCGCTCCCAGTGGCTTTAGATTCCAAATAGTAGAGGGGAGAAACTCTGCAATGTCCCACAATGGAGACCTCTCCCCCTTGCTGACTGGAACTGTCCATCTAGGAACAAGAAGTGCTGCAGAACACTGCAGCCCATGATAGACAGTAGTGAAGACAACAGGACAGGGACTAGGAAGATTGGTGGGTGGGTGGGTGGGTGGGTTGGC